CCTGCTGCCCTGTCTTCTGTGAGTCACATAGACGGAGCCATCTCGCCCAACCAAAAGGACGACACGTTGCGGAGAAGCAGACGACAAGTAGGCTGGCAGCCCGGCTCTGACAAAAGAAGAGTTGTGCAGAGGTGGCGAGGGACAATGGGACAGTTTGAGAGGAGGAGGTGAGGAGAGCTCAGTCCTCACAATAAGTAGGCTTATTGTGAAAGCCTGCTCTGTTGAAGGACAGAGTTTATAGGGTGAAGAAATTATGGGGATTATCCAAGGTAAGATTTGTGCACTAATAATGCAAAAATATATCTAGAAATCTGCATAGATACACATCTACTGAATCAAATATTTCAAATGCACAAAAATGACTTTCAGTCAAAATCACAAATCTGAAGATTTTCACTGCGAACACCTTAGTCTTTGTTATAGCCTCCCTTCTTACAGATGTTCACATTGTGGTTAAAAAAACACCACACACTCATACTCCACCCTGAGTGATATACGTGCTTGTTCACACACACACACACACACACACACACACATACTTAAGACACATACACTTTTCTTATTCTTACCGTAAACAGCTTCCTCCCACCCTCAGGCTTTGCCTTTCCCAAACTCACCCAGGAGCCCGAGCAGGTAACACTCAGTTGGTTTTGGCAGTCATCCATGTGATCCTGACTGTTTAAACCGAGTCTGTTGCCAAGCAGCTCGTCCTGCCCTGGAACTCTTTGAAAGTTTGCCCAAAAATATGCATAAAAAAATATGAACACTAAATCGTAGAGCTGGTTTGGGGGTATTAGTAGACCTCCTGTACAAAAAAAAAAGCAGAACTTGAAGGAATTTCTATACTAGAGTACACAGAAGAACTCACAATCTAAACAGACTAAACAGAGATGTGACTAATCAAGATGTGACTAAGATGTCGGACACGTTTTTTAAAAAGATTTTTATTGTTTTTGCAAAAGATGCAACCTGATCCCTTCAACTAATCACCACGTCATCGCTTAGAGCTAAATCGACCCAAATTTCACAGCTCTTCTGTTTAGAATTGAGGGCGGTGATTAATAGAGATTGTTCTGAGCAGAAACAAAATCCCATATTAGACATCTGTCGCAACGTTCACACGTTTGTCTCTCCCACTGCTTAGCAAACATTAGTGCTTTTGACTAACATTTGGCAGGATGGCACGGTGCCACCTCACGAGTGTTCCCGTAAACACTCACCGCTCTGGACCCTGTGCTGTTGTTCTGTGCCAAAATGTCACTGGAAGTGTGGTCAACCTCAAACCTCAGTGCTGAATAAAACCTAAACCCAAGCAACAGCAGAGCATCAGAAACAGGCAGCTGCACAGAGGACAGAATTTATAAGGGAGGTGGCAAAGTGGAGGCAAGACACTGCCAGGAATTGTTGTTTTCCTCTGTTTAGCCATATTCCCATGGATACTCACAAAAAGGCATAGAGTTAAAATAGTTGTTCTGAATACCAGCAAATAACCTGAGATGAGGTAATTACAATCAGGCATGGAGAACCTAAAAGTAGTGATTTCAGTTAACTTTCCCAGTCATGTCAAGAATATAGCAAACGGCTGTCAATGGTAAACGTTCTCCTTTCTGTGACAGGTTTAAAAGCTCTCTCCGCTTTAGGCCTAAACAACACGGACGATGAGTTTTTAAAAGGTAAGTACATAGTATTACAGGGTGGTGGCTGTCACTATTCATATCCAAAGGGAAAACCTGTTGAAAGCTTGATCCAGCCCCTTCCCCCTGCTCTGGCACAGGTCGGAAATACACTGAGAGGTATTCTGTGGATGAGAAAGTCACAGATTAAATAATCAAAGGTGTGGCTGTGCTTGTTTTGAAATATACAAATATGACTGTACTCTTGTGTAATTCTTGTGCTGGGTTTTGTTTTTGTTACACAGCACAGCCTAAACCACCAAGGTGTAAACTTATACTTTTCCAGGCATGCTCGTGGGAAAGTTCGGCTAATTAACTCTGTTTTAACTAACAGATGGAAAACTGAGAGCAGGGGTTAGCTTGCTGTCCCCTCACAGCAAGCTAAGGTCCTGGGTTTGAATCCACCATCTGGCTGGGGCCCTGGGAGTTTGGATGTTCTGGGTTGTCTCCAGGTACTTCCACTCACAGTCCAAAAAAAAAAGCATGGGGTTAGGTTAACTGGTGATTCAAAATAGGCCGTAGCTGTGAAAGTGAGTGCGAATGGTTGTCTATGTCTTTGTTTTGGCCCTGTGACAGATTTGCGACCTCTCCAGGTGTGACCTACCTCTCTCCCTTTAACAGCTGGAGTAGGCTCCAGCCTCCCCGTGACCCTGAAGCGGAGAAGCAGGAGCAAATGAATGGAGGGAAAAGTGATAAGAGTAAGAGTAAGCAAATGGTTGATAATTGCAATAATAAAGGTTTGTGTTAATGTGACGCATAAACTGTTCTATATAGAAATAAATCTATACATTTATTAAATAACAATAAATAGAAACAGCTATCTTACTACGATGGATAAATGGGTGAAACATCCACCTTTTCCAGATTTAAGAAGTAGTCACAGATCACTGATTTTAGACTGCCTGTTAAAGTCTCAGCTTAAAGCTGAGTGTGTCCACACAGGAAGTGACTAGCAGCTAACTGGAAACCTGAGACCACAGAAAGTCAATGACATTCGGTCACTTCAAGTGAAAAAAACGGTTGAAAAAAACCCTTGTGACGCACAGTGGGCGCGTCCCAAGATAAACATTTCTCAAATTCAACATGAGCTGCTAAAGCTAGCTCACTTGGTTAC